GTCGGGGCAGCCCAGCTGCAGTGAGGGTGCAGGGAGGAAGGGGAAGCGCAGAGCAGTGGCTCACTGGAGCTCCCCAATAAAACCTCCGTGGAGCCCCTGCACAAGGTGGTGTCACCGGAGAGCTTCAACTCCTTCCCGTTTTACTGCAACCTGAACAGTTTCAGGCTGTTTGGGATATGCAGGAATCCAACTGAAAACACCTTGAACCTCCCAAGTTTGATGTGGGAAGGAAGGGGCTGGCTTTGGTTGCGGCAGTTTAAGATTCCTGGACCCTGCAATGAGAGCTGGCAGCTTGCAAACACAGGGAAAAGACCTAGTTGCCAAGGATTCACATTTAAAAGAATGAGAAGGTGCATTTGGCCTTACTAGCTTCCCTGTATTTTCATGCTCGCATTAAAGGTCACAGTCATTTGAACCCACTCCTGCTACATACACAAAAAATGTGCCTTTCTCTACAACGCTGAAAACACGGACCAGATCCACCAAGTAAGAAAACACATCACAGTGTGCCCACAGCCAGAGCTGCTGAGAAATGGCATACCCCTTCCACAGCTTAGCGGCAGCGGGAAGAGCTGCAGGATGCCTAGAGTTACAGAAATGCAACGTTTGTTACTGTAGAGACCGGTCTGCAGACCCAAAACTGCCAGACACAGCCCCTGATGAAGCTGGTAGCTTTAACGAAGGCTCAAGCACCATCCAAACGCTTTGCACAACCCCAGGCAGTGCAGACACCCTCCCGTGACACGTGGGTGCTCCTCCAGTCTGCCAACAGGCACTACGCAAACAGCAGCGCAGAAGGCAAACGCTTCCCTGCTGGGCTGGGAAGCAAAGCATGGAGTGGTGGATGGGCCAGGGAAGGACACCGAGGATCGTGGCTGTGCACAACATAGGTACTTAGCAATTCTTGCCAGTTAATGCATGGCCAGGGAGTGCTGCTCCAGAGCGTGCCAGGGATGTAAATCCCACTCCACGGGCTTTTGGCTGTCTACCACCCGCGTGCAACCTGTGCACTCCTTCTCCTACTGTTTCAGGCCTTCACTTGGGTGCATGTGCAAGCATGCAGTGGTTTCTTCTGGCAGAGTACTGCTACGAGGTTGGCGATGAAAGAACAAAAGCAAGAGATTTTCTGTGCCCATTTTTACAGTCAGCGCAACGCTACCTTGCTGCCTGTTAGTATGTTTGTATTCCCCTTCTATCTACAGAGACTTCAGCACAAGAATCTCCCCTGGTCAGAGTATCTTCTGAGCTGAACAGAAAGTCATTTGTTCTCCTTTCCAGGCATGCTAATGTCTTGATGGTTACTTTATCCCATGGAATTAACATTTTGAGACTTTTCCAGGTTTGCACCAAGCCATCCTCCGGCTGCAATGCATGTGGCAGAGCTTTTGTCACCCCACAAGCCAAGCACAGGCATATATTGAAAATGTTAAGTCCTGCAAGTGCAGCCATATGGCAAATCTGAGCTTGTCACCATGAACTAAGAGAATCACTTCAAGGACTAAAGGGAGAGCTCACCTAATTTGCCCATCTGTCCCAGGACATTGATTGGTTTAAAAAGGTGAAATAAGCTATGAGGAGGAATGCTCTGTATCGATACATTGGCTCGAGACTGGTTTGGTTTCATGTTGGTATCACACAGCCATACACTGCACTACAGAAAAGATTAAAATGTTACTCGGGTTGCAGGGTCAGCCATGATGACATTAGAAACCACAGAACTGAAAGTGGCTATAAATCTCAATTAGACTCCTTTGTGGAGACAGGTTATTTTATACTCTTTAACCACAGGATCATAAAGTGCTTGTCTACTAGAAAGATTCAGCGCCCAGAATGGAGCATTGGCTTCAAACACACAGCTATTCAACGTCCATTTTCTCCTCCTACTCAGTGCCTGGCTCTGTAGTTTACTTACTGCCCAAGTCTTGGCCTGCCATGAAGACATCATGAGATTTGGTCCTTGCCCCTGTGATGGACAGCTGCTGGGGGCCAGGGAAGCGGTGCAGTGGGCTGTGGTGCACCCACAAGTGCAGCAGCTGGTTATGTGTTTAACAGAAAGTGCTGAAGTCGTAACACTTGTCAAAAGCACCTAAAAACTCAAAAAATTTTCACTTCAGTTTACTTGCTGCAGCTACTGATCTGAAAAGCCAGGAGCAAAACCACCTCCTCATTTCATGGAGGTGCTGTGAAAATAAATTCCTACAAGTAGTTTTTTCAGGAGCACGACAAGATTGCCTCCCCATCATTGTCAAAATTAATCATTTCCCTCCAGGCAGAATTCTCCTACCTCAATTGCCTCAAACCCTCCAAGGCCCTCTGGCAGTCCCGCCCTGAAGCATCTCCTCCATCCCTTTTATCTTCCCCAAGAACTGAAGCAGTGCCCAATAAAAAGGGCTTTGTCCAGGTATGCGGCCACAGCAGCAGTTGTGCAGCGCTGCAGTCTCTCTTCCGCTGGGCAGCAGTGGGTGTACGGCCCCTGTACCATGCCCTACAGACTCCAACCTCCCTGGAGCAAAACCATCCTATCCATTGAATGAAACTGGTGATGGCAGATGTTTGAGATCGTGTGAGGATGTCTGGATTGTGATGGCTTCACGCAACAGGGTCAACACGAATTCTGCCACCCTCTACTTTCATTTGCTCTTTCAACACAGCTTAAATACAATTTTTTTTTTTAAAGTTTTCACAAAAGCAAACTGAAGAGGAAGGAGACAGTCTATCATCATGGGACAGCACAACCCATGCTCGCAGGTCATCTTGCCTCTAGCCCAAGGCCCTTTGCTCTGCTCCGCTCCCCCATGAAGAGGCCCAACTTGTGGCACATCTGTGATGGGTAGAACTGCTGCCTCCTCCCTATCACCTGAGCTTAAGAGAGGCTACCCAAAAGCACAGGAGGAGCCTCCTCTTGAGTGCCCCAAAGCACACCTGTGGGTGAGGTGGAAGTTTCAGTCAAATGAAGTCTAATTCCTTCAAAATTCAAATCTCAGCAGCAAGCCACCACCATAGCAGCGATCTCGAAAGGGAGTCTCAAGGTTGTGAAGAGAGCAAAATAAACTCTTAGGACCATATTCAGATTCTATTGTGAGTGTCTAGCCTGGTATTATTTATCGCTGAGCAGCCAAGAAGAGCTGAGCTGTAAGCCAAGTCCAAGCAAGACAGATTAGATGAGGGAGGAGATGTGCTACACCCATGCTGCAAAATGCTGCAATACGCTGAACCTCTTTTAGCATTAAGTCCAAGAGGACCAGTCGGGCCAACTGGGCTCCCTGATAACCTTGGACCACTGAGGGAGCCGCTTAAAACCACATTTTGTCAGGTCCTTCCAGTCATTACCCTGGTCCTGAGCACAAAGTTGGTGGAAATCACAAGTAGAAGCTGGCATGTTCCAGAGCTTTTGAGATTAAGAACACAGGAACAATCATAAAGCATCACATCAACTCACCAGTAGCTGCAATATCCACTTAGATATCCAGTATTGGGAGTTATGTTGATGCTCTAGGCAAACCCGCATTAATGTAGCTCAAAGCACCACCATACACTTATCTGAAGGTAAAGATTTAACACATCCCCGGTAGACAAACAAGTGCTCTGTTGTCACAAACTACTTGAATAAGCCCGCCAGATCTCTCTCTAAATATCCCATCAGTTCTTTAGCGTATTTTCCTAAGTATGACTAGAAATGTGCCATGTTTACCTGAGTTTTAAAATAGTACATTTTAATCTGCATTTAAAAATTGTCAAACCTTAACACACAGCAGAACACAAATGATCAGAAAAGTGTTTTTAAAGGTGCATGTTACCCTACGATAAGAACAGAAGAAGTACTGTTATAGAAGTGAAGCTTCCTTTCCTCCACCAGATCAAATAAAAAGACACCTTGAGACAAAACATTGCAAGACTATCTGCAAAGTGTTAGATCTTAAGAAGGCAGCTTCTGCTTAATCATTCATGGCTCACGTGTCACCATTAAGTCAGATCTCATTCCTCATTAACATCCAGCACACTTAGCACTACACTGTCACAGCACAACCACCTGCCTTATCTGTCCCAAATGTCAACTAAGCAAGAGAGGTTCTGAGGGCCCAGAGAGGGGGGGTTACAGGCAAAACAAAACCTTGGGAGAGAAGTTTAGACCAATACTAATTTGGTGTTAGCCTTATTATTTCTGGATTACTAATAAACTCGGGCAGGCGGTGAGACCAGCCCAGCATCCTCCTCCCAAGCTGTGGTAGAAACTCAGAGATAATGGTGAAATGGGATCGTCTCAGCAAGGCTAATACTAAAATGATCATGATGTTCTTAACTCTGTCAAGTATAATAAAGATGTTTAATCCTTTAAGAAGAGGTCATCACCTAGACTATGCAGGGTTTTGCTTTAATTTCAACTGATAATATTTTTCATTTCACCATCATGCAGAAGATCCTGAATTTAAAAAATAAACTTGTGGCATGGTCTTCCAGTTGTTTTTAGGAAACAGACTGAGTAAAGAAACAGCACTAATATTAAATGAAATTTCATACACTTTTGAATGTAAAAAAGGAACATTATCATTATATAGAACTGTCTGTCTACAGAGATAGGCCAGGAATCTATTCCCAAATTCCGTGCATTCAGATATAGGGTGAAATAGAGGTTTGTCTTAAAACAGGAGGCTCTCCTAAAGAGCCCAAATGAACTCTTACCATACTGCTGTAAAATTAGGTTGCAATTCAACACAGGCAACAGACAAATCACTTTGACTCTCCTTTTACATAGCTCCCATGATTAAAATTACATTTTATATGAATTCTTACACCATGCCCTCTACCATTAGACAAATTAAGACATTTGGTGTCATAATACAGCGACAAGTCAGAACAAAAAAGCATTAACTTCAGTTCAATTTGACTCTCAATAATAAATTTCAACAGAACTGAAAAGTCATGTCAGTCTGTTTCTGATGGTCAAGGACACTAGCTTCTGACTTTCATCTCATATAAAACATTGAACATAATTTTCTTACCGTGCTCCAATGACATCAAAGAGATGCTGCCAGCGATCATTGATTTTGTTGAGTTTATCATCTATTTCTGCAACTCGGCTCTTGTTGCTAGCCTTGATTAGCTGATCACCCATTTGTTTCAAGTGAAGCTTATTTTCACTAAACAGGTTTATTTCTTCCATGCAATCCTGATAAATATACACAAACATTGCTTTATTCCTGGGCAAAACAAAACAAAACAACAAAACCAAAACCACAACAAAACTGTCTGTTTCTTTCCCCACGTGTGTGATGTGAAGTCAGGTTTGGCTTGCGATGGCTGAGGTTTCTACATTAGTATGTAGAACTCCTTCACTTAAAACAAAACAAAAAAAAACCCTCAATGGAAAAGCACTCTCACAATGAAGCCGCTATGAAAAAATAAGCAGCTTAAGGACTTGCAAGTGCCAGGAGTAAGTAGTCCTAAAAATAGCAGTTTATTCTAATTTTGTCTCTGCGTTCCTGATTTAACATAATTTTTCAATCAAGCTACCTCAAAAGAACCCAAACTCAAGTCTAGGATGGCTTTATTTTGCTGGTATTCTTATCCAGAGGAGATCTGGGATTAGATATCAAGACCTTTAAGCCAGGGGAAGAACACTGCAGCAAAATAATGGTCCTGTTTAAAATCAAGCTAATATGAAAGTATTAGCAAGCACTAACTGCATTGACTACCAAGGAGAAGGGGCAGAATTAGGTTTTATTTTTGGCTGCGGTAGTGTCTTGTTCGCCTGGCATAAGACCTACCCCATCCTTCAATCTTTTCTTTGCCCTCTGACTACCAGCATTGTAGCTGACACAGGTGGAGGTGGTGAGGGCAGTGATGTGCTCCCAGGCCACCACTGATCCCCAGCAGGGAAAACGCTCTGAGCAGTGCTGTATGGGCGTGTGTGCCCAAGAACCCAGACCCCCACCACTGCAACTCCCACACATGTCACACTCCATGCTTAAATGCAGCCAGGTGGCCTTTCTGTTTAGCATTATGCTCCAAGTCTGAACATCAAGATGATGGTAAGAGCTGAGGCTAGAAAAACTCATCTTCTCACAAAAGCCCGTACATGCTGGCTTTATATCACGTATCACTTCCGAGAGGCAAGGAAGAAATGAAGAATGGTGCCCCTAGAACAAGCTACCAGACTGCAACTGAAGAAAAGTGGCGTTACTACTTACCTTCTGCAATTTGTCTATCATGTCTTCAATGCCAACATCTGCAGTCTGCAACACTTTGCTTTCCATTTGTACCAGCCAGGAGCACAGCTCCTTATTCTTTTCATTGAACACAATCCAGGCATTGAGCCTGTCCTCAATCTCCTGCTTACGCAGAGACACCTATGGATAAGCACACATATTAATTCCTGGCAACATCTTTCTCAGGAAGGAAACCAGCAATTATGAGCCTTCTAATTTCTAGTCTGCATTTGATCATATTCCATTTTGCAGAAGCAGTTATCAAATATCGCTAGCTTTCTTTTCCAAGCCAGCAAGCAGATTGTTGTTACATCTTATTTTGGATAGCAGGGCCAAAAGTTGACTAGCAAACACCAGATTCTCTCTCTCAGAAGAATTAAACTGAGTCACAGCTTTATAAATAATGAGTTTATATAACAATTTAAGTATTACTCAGTGAAAAGCTGAAAATGCCAAACAAAGCAGGAATATAAAATATATAATTACTACATCCTGTTTAGTATGGTCTCATATATAACACAAGAGAAATAACACCTAGGTAAGTTCTTATTTTTCTGCAGCTGTAAGAGAAACTTTGCAAATACTGACTCCAATTATTTTATCTCTATAAAAACCTCCCTCTTTTCTTTCCATTTGTTCACCAGTTCATGGAGAACTTCCCCCAAAAAATCACCATCAAGAATCTATCCTTTTTATTGAAAACTATGGATTTCTTTCCTAAAAACTGCATTTGCCAGGATGGATAAACAAATTGTCTAGACAGACAAGTTAAAGTCCGATGATGCCTGAACCAGCAAAGTTAATATCACTGCTCCAGCATCTCAGAAAGAAGCAGGGTCACTCTTCTACTAGCTAACAGTACTTATTTCTAGGCTAGGAGCCTTAAATATAAATTTGTATTCATTTGTCTACTTTGATGGATTCCTGTACTAAGATGAATGGGACAAAGGAAGTGAAAAATGGTACAAGTTCTACTCAAACAAAACAAGACAAAAATCTAACCCCTCACCAAGAAAATGCAAAGACGACTGAGCATAACATTTTGCTTGCCTTGGCTGCGAATGGCTACTCTAAATATCACCCCACGGCAGGAAACATTCCCTCTTAACATCTAACATGCACTTTCCACAGCATATGACTCCTCAAAAATGCCATTACTGATTCTCCTAGACTAATCTCTAACGCTACTTCGTATCTCAGAGTGAAGTTTAAGTGTGCAGTGCAGAAGCAAGACCAGCTCCACATAACAGCAGGATCAAAATAGGAGGCACCAAGTGATCTCCCACTATATTGCTTTTGTCCTTAAATTCTGACTTTTTTTAAGGAGGGGATGGGGAAATGAAAGTGATTTCTAAACCTTTCATGCTGAGCTAAGCAGAGACAAGGCTGAAAGCACCGTCTTGGGTCACAGGGAAACAATCTCCAAAGTTCTCACTGGGAAGAAGTCTCCTGGAGACCCCAGGGACCTCAGAAAGTCTCCCTAAGAGGGCCTCTGCTCTGGGATGCTCCCTCGTACCCTCAGCCTCAGCGGTATGAAGGGTAAATCCCTCATCCTTCCTCTACCACTTGCAGCATCTCCCATGTGTGGAGGCGAGTTAACTTGGTCTGTGGAAGAGACAATGCATGTCAGCAAAACCATTGTGAAATCCTGAACTGATCCCGACTCCATTTTTGCCTACTAAGCATGGGGCAAGGCAGGATTTTAAGATTAGGAAGCACCTTTTAGCTGGCTATGCAATACAGATTGGGGGTAAAACAGGAATGAGTCAAAAAATCCCAGACAAGCTTCTAGGAACATCCGGCCTTGCTTTGAGCACTTTCTCCTCGGAGCAGCTGCCCCAGGATACCAGCTCCAGTTTTGCATCCACTGAAAGGGCTAAACCTCTGACAATACCTGACTCAGAGAGTTTTAGTTATTTGCTGAAGCAGAGTAGATAAATAGGACAGATATTTCAAAGAATGTGACTCCTTCTCTGACACAATTAAAACAGATCTTAAGCTCCTCAGGCTTACTAAAGCACTGATAGCATAGACTCAGGACACCTATGCCAAGATGAGCACTCAAGGA